AGACGCCGGGCGTACGACATACTGTTTCTTCCTCGATGTACAAAAAGCCTACGACACCGTATGGCGCAATGGATTGTGGAAAAAGATGTGGGACATCGGCATCCGGGGGAAAATGTGGAGGATGTTGAAAAAGATGACAGAATGCACAAGAAGTGCGGTGATGTTGGATGGGGAAATTTCCAAGTACGTGGATATACTCCAAGGAGTCGCACAGGGCTGTACGATGTCACCCACTCTTTTTAAGATTTACATCAACGATTTGATAAGGGCGGTTGAAGCAGTAAGACAGGGAGTCCAAGTAGAGGGAAAGAGTGTGTCCGGACTGATGTTTGCAGATGATTTCGTGGGGGTATCCGAAACACCAGAAGGGTTGCAAGAACAAATAGATGCGGCGGTAGGATACACCCGAAAATGGAGACTGTCGGCGAACGTAGGAAAATGCGCAGTAGTGGTCTGTAACGAAGACAAGAAAAATCCCGTAGAATTCAAATGGAAATGGGGGGAGGAAGAACTACCGGTAGTAGACAAGTATTCGTACCTGGGAGTAGAGATTTCGAAGGAGTGCTCATGGGACGCACACATAGCGAAGTTGATTGGGAAGGGTAAAGCTCAGATAGGCAAGATGGACGAGATCCTTACGGACCCACACCTAGACACTAGGATTAAGAGGTGTATTCTCTTGAATGTGATTGTACCTAAGCTAGAGTATGCAGGAGAGGTATGGGAAGGTAACGAAAAGGCCGTCAAGCAGCTGGAAACGGTGCAGATGGCAGCGGCCAAGAAAATATTAGGATGTTCAAGTACAACGAGCAACACTGTATGAGAGCAGAATTGGGAATTTACTCTCTTAAAACAAAGAGAGACATGCAGAAGTTGAATTGGCAGTACAAGGTAAGTAGAATGTCGGACGATAGACTACCAGCCATGGTTGACGAGGCAGCTTGGGGAAAAGCGACTCCAGGGAAGAAGGGAATCAGATGGGACAAGGTGGTAGAGAAGGTTTGGAAGGAGATAGGAGACGAGGAGGAGACGTTGGACACGGAAGGGTTCGGGGGGTTCAAGACGAAAGTCAAGGAGATGCTAGAGAGTAGGGAGGAGGCAACCCTTCGGAAGAAGGTACGAAGCGAAGACCACTTGGAGATATACGGGAAGTTGAAAGAAGGGATAGGGATGAAGAAGTACATGGACGGCCCCATGGACTATGCGAAAAAGCTGAAATTGCAATTTCGAGTAGGCGATCTGGACTTGCCAGAACGGAGGAAGAGATATACCAGCCGTAGGAGAGAGGAAGAGGAGGATAGACACACATGTCCATGTGGCAAATCGGAGGAGAGTAGACCCCACATAGTTGGGGAGTGTGAGTTGTACAGGAAGGAAAGAGAGGATCTCGAGGAGGAAATGAGACAGAGAGGGTGTGACATGGACAAGTTTGGTAAATTAGACAACAGAAAAAAAACGATCGCGATAATTGGGGATAGATGGTGGGCACAAAAGGCTCTAGAGGACGGGGAT